AGAGAGAGCACCCAGCTACACAACACTATTTAATTCTTTAATATAACTTTGATTTAATTAATTGCTTAAATTTCTTTTCTGTGCAGTTAGCCTTATCTCCGTTAGTAAGGGAGAGCTCTTCCAAAAGATCACCTGCTCTTTCAAGTATTTCTGAGAGATGAAATAAGCAGTTGAGCTCTTTGCAGAAGAGGAGAAGGGGAAACTCGGCGCACGTGCTCTGTAGGGCAAAGATAAAGGCAGCAGGGGACAACTGGTTGGCAACGTCCAGTCGGCTGCATCTGTAACTGCCTTCTCTGTGCTCCAGTGTGTTTTGGCACTGCAGCCAACTACTAAGTAGCTGGAATTCAGGTCGTGCTAAGGAAACAAGAGGAGGAGCAGCTTGCCAGAAGGATCGGAGGCACTTGGCGCACTGGAGGAGGCAGTCAGGGCGCAGGGAGCGCACCATGGTCTAATCTTCAGGCCACTGTTTCTGGTTCGTTTCCTCCAAATTTGAGGGAGACGGAATGTAAACTAGATAGCAGATAAAAATGAGGGACATAACTGAAAATGCAGAAGAGGAGAGAGCAACCAAAACCTTCCAAGTAGTTTTCTTGGAGCTAGGCCAGGGATAGTCCAGGCAAGCCTGATGCTGGAGAGAAGTCAGAGACTTTTGCATTACCAGTCAGCTCCTCTTCCCCTTCCCCGGAGCCCCTCCAGCTGGCTCACCGTCCGTGGCAGGTGTAAAACACTTCTGGTCCGCTTTGCAAGGGGGATCCCAGCTCAAGTAAAGAACCAGCCTTCTAATTGATGAGAAAGGGACACTGAAGCAGTAACTAGGCCACGTTAATCCCTGTGTCCTCTAAAATGCAAAGGCATGAACCAGCATTTAGAAACCAATCATGATCTAGTTAGATGGGGAACATCTAACTAGTGAAAGCTATAAGAGATATTACAATCTGATTACCCCCGGGGCCATCACAAACTCTGCAGAAACATAGGCATAGCTGATTATTTTCTGTGATGATAGAGCTTCAGAAACTGCTGATACTGCTTTTATGCAGCCTGCCAGGCCCTGGTCGTATTAATCTGATTTAATTTGAATCATCAAGTGCTGCTCTGATTCCAAATGTCCTTTTAGGAAAGTAGAGAGTGTTTAGAGTTTGGGAGACTACTTCTAGGCTGCACGCATGCTTTACAGGGGGTGCAGCCTGCAACCATCAGGGTTGCTTTGCAAGGCAAAAACATTGCTTTCAGCCACTCTAAGAGACTGTATTGCTACAACCTTGACAACATGGTTGTCATGCAGTGTCTTCTCCTCATTCACTCCACGAGATGGATGACATGGAAGAATGAACCACAGAGGTGGGAGGAAGGAATGTCATATGTAAGGTGAAGCTGTGGGGTGAATGAGGTAGCAAAGGTAAGATTCAAGATTGCATGGTAATAAATGTGTAATGAGGACAGAAGAAAGATTGTATGGTAATATTAATTCTGTTTTTAATTAAATTTACCTAAGCTCAAAGTCTTACAGATCTTTCAAGGTAAGAAATGTGCAAGATGTCAGATGTTTAGAAATTATTAAAATCATTTTAACATGCTTAAAAAAAAAAGCTCTATTTAAGCAATACCTTTTTGTACAGCACCTCCTACAAACTGGAAGTACCAACTTGAGAAGCTCTTTCCTAAAAGGCTAGATGTCATTTTGCTACATACAGGAACATTTTAAATTATGCCTCCTGAGATTTGCTTCAAACTGTGCGTTTCAGGCAGAGGGGAAATCAGTAACTGAGACAGAGCTTTTGGAAGCTTGAGGAGGCTGGGATGCATATGCTGTCCCCCTTGGATCAGTTGCTACAATACTTCCATGAAGAAAATAAGGTTCAGGTTGTGACAGAATCATGTCTGTCCTGTTCCGACAGAACTATTTGCTAGAACTGTAAAAAGATCAGCCAAGAACAGAGCACCTTTTCTCTGCTGGGAATCCTTTTTTCTGCACTTCGGCGACCCATTTCTGGCTGAACCGTTGCAACAAAAAGGTTCTCCCATTGAGGATTAAAGGTATGTCTCCAAGGAGTTAGTGGCAAATCATTTTCCAAGTTATTTTGCCAACATAATAAGCAAGTCCTAAGGTGCCCATTTCCTCCATAAAGGGAATCTCAAAGGTAGAAAGTAAACTGAATCAATTAATATTGTACATATATCCAGAGCATTTTTTAAAACTATTAATGTACTTAAAAGAAATAGAAAGGAAGACTTTTTAACTAAATCATACCATTTTCTCCAGAAAATAAGATATACCAGAAGTATTTCTTGCGGAATGGAGGGGGGCAGGGTGGAAACAGGTTCTGCCTAGAGCTTCATCTTAAAGTAATGCATGCAGAGTGATGAGAGCATTTTCACAAATGAGACAAGAACTAGAAATAAGACAAGATGAAGCATGTTGCATTTCATCTGCAGTGCCACACATTTTCAGAGTTTTACTCAAATTTTAACTATACTTCTGTAAACAGGAGAACTTCTTTAGGGAACTGTAGGGAGCATTCTTTTAAAGATTTTTCTAGTTAATATATTTTACCTGTTCTCTGGCTGGATAGCTGCTGTATCAAGCTCTCACACAGAAACTTTTCTTTTTTCAGGTCACCAGCCATTAAGCTAGAAACTGCCTCCTGACAAGGTTCAGAAGAAGTGTTTCTAGACATGACTGCTATTGAAAAATAAAGAGCTAAATCCAAGGAATTCACTAGATTTTTTCCCTCACTTTCAGTGAGTGTTTGAAAGCCTGATCCAAGCCTGGCACATGCACCAGGGTCCTACTAAAGGCAGAGATTCAGTGACTGACGCTGCAGGACTTCCCCGTATAACACTGCTCTACAGGCAGCCTTGGGAGTTACACATGTAGATTTCTGGATGACTCCATAACATGAGGGTCAAGTTTTTTGTTTGTTTGATTTGTTGTTGTTGCTTTTGAAAAAGGGCAAAAACATTATGCTACTGCACAGTATGAAGAAGACAGGGACTTCAGAAGATGCATATATTATGGATTAATTGGATTTTAGTTTTGTTTAGTCAAATTTTGGTAAAGGACCCCTTCCCTTAAAAAAAAAAAAAAATGCTTTCTTCGCCACTTTCATTTATAGGGGAAAAATATGTATGTTTATATATATATACATATATACACACACAGAGAAATCTACATTTGCAAAGGTTGTGCTGAATTACAATAAAGGGAATGAATGACAGCTGATATTCACTGTGTCTCTCCAAAGACAACCATAAATGAGTCAGTTTTCCAACAAGCTTTAGATAAAGTCCATCATAAAAGACCATGAGGGAAAAGCAACACCTGCAAGATAAATTACATCTGAACTAGAAATAGAATAGCAGTGAACTAGGGGTCCTCAGCAAAGCGGTGTTAAAATGCAGCATGTTTACAGTACACAGTGGTATGATTTTATGCGGTTATCAAAAAATCCAGTGGCAGAAGTATACAGTGAGCTGACAATGTTCTCTGCTGACCCCAAACCTCTGTTTTTAAATAAAACCCATATAGATTTGGAGGGAAGTGACAGGTGTGAAGGATAAACACTAAGAATTAAGCAAACAGAATTTAAGCCAGATAACTGTAAGCCAGTGTACACAGGCAAACCTGTCTAACCATCCAAATGAGCTTGCCTCTAGAATAACTGCAACTCACGTAGACAGTAATGCCAGTAAGCAAATAACAGCGGTGGTCTCTAAACCAACCATATCCCTGAAGAGGTTCTCAAAGTCTTTATGTACAGCTTTAAAAAAAAATCTCAGCTATAATCACAATATTATTTAAAAGCAAATTGCTACGCTATCAAATTCTTCCGTTTATTAGGAAGAGGATGGAAAATGAACATGAATTACACTATGCCTAGAAGATAAAAATGACATAGTATCTTAAAATTGCATGGAGCTTTGCTTGCACTTTAAACATATCTAAACTCAGAACTTTGAGCACATGCACATACATATAACCCTTAATCTGTAAGATGCACATCCTCACATATCCCATATAAATACATCTGAGTCTTCCATCCCCCTCAGTGAGGGCGACAACAACAATGCTGCACCATTCATGCAACAGCCACATAAGAGTCCACCATATTTACTAATTGTGTAGAAACTATTTACACTGTGACCAGAGCTTGATCCCTTCCTGTCACTATTAGCTTGTTACTTACAGTCTCATTCCTTGCTGAATTATCTCCACATGTGGAAACTTGGTTGGCAAATGGCAATTTGTAGGTCCAATAAATTTAAGATAATTAAAGAACTACAGCAAAGAAATGTTTTTAGTAACATTCAGATCCTGTTAATGAACCTATTAGGAAGTGCAAACTACAAAGGAGCATTTTTTGTTATTGTTGCTCTGAAAACTGTAGAGACAGCAACATTTGGCATCGTTGTTTTCACAATAATATTTTACTGCCGAAACATTAAGAAAAACGTGAAAATGCCTTACCATAAAGAAAAAGTGTCCGATTAACATTTTCTACTTGGGTGAGCTGCACAATTTTAGATTTTATTATTGTTGTTCAGAATAAGCAAGGTCCTCCAGTTATGTCACTGGCTGTAACAGCCTTCGCTTTATTTAAGTCAGAAGTCCTACACCTGCCACATTTTTCCATTATCTTTTGCTTTTCTCAGTTTTACAAGACATGAAGAGGCACACATCCATACAAATGCTCAACAGGATTCTATTGCTCATTAAATCCCTATTGCATTTTTTAATAATCGTTATTTTTCAACTCCAATGTGCAAACACCACCCCAGCAGGCCAAGTTAAAAAAGGATTGGGCCCATTTACAGCAAGGAGATTGGGTAAAAGTCTGTCACTGCTCCACACAGAACAGGAACAACCATAGCACAGGCAAAAGAGTTTCTCTGAAATTGCAACAGAGATGCACAGTCTAAAAGGCAGCTTTAAAGACCGGATATTTGAACTGGCTTGGAAAGAACAAACTGAAACCAAATGTGGAAACACCTCTACTTACTGTGTTAAAATTTGGGAAGAATCCGACAGCAGAACTGCTGTCCATCGGGAAGGACATGAAGGGTTTGATATCCAGCGAAGGCTGCATCATCAAGGTAGGTGCGCGCACAAGGGTGGGAAGAGTCGTGGTGCCTGCCAAGAGCAAAGAAAACCAGGAATTCAGGGAATTCTCCTTTCACGTTACAGTCTGCACAGCTATCTCTTGCTGACACAACCTAACAGAAAAACACTACACAAAGGCAATAAAGTGGCCCTGGAGGAGTTAATATCATTAAAGGAAACTACTTCCTAAAGATGAGGCAGAGCACTCTCCCATGGCTCTGGCTACTGAGAGGCTGAAGAGGAGACACATGGTATATAAATCACACGGGCAGGTAGAATAAATCCTTTCTAAAACTGATTTTTTTTCCTGTGCCAAAAAGGCTGGGATGGGTGCCTGCGGAAGGCAGATGCTTTTGCAATTCATGGTTGCCTATTAGATCAGCAGGCACAGACAATATACGCAAGCTGAAGTTGAGAGGTTTGCTTCACACAGCTAATAGCATGTTTCGTTTTTCTTTCCTGGCAGTGAAGTATCAGGTGCTGCACAAATATCTTTTCACTGAACATCTAAACAAATGCAATGATACTAATAAATAGCAAACTATTATACTGTATTAAGTAATCAAACGGCACGCAAATGAACTCAGATTTCTTTACATGCTATGGAAAACAACATTTTCTTAATGGAAGCCTAAATCTAAACAGGAGCTTTTCAGATTTGTACATTCAGAAATCATTTCTAAATGCACCTGAGCACCACCCCCAACAGGACCCTGAAGGAATGAGAAGGTACAGATGTCCAAATATTCACTTATAATGAGCTGCCTGCCCTATTTGCACAACAGTGTGTCTGGTATGCCAGCTATGCCTGCAGGAGTATTTTTTTTTTCCTGAAATCAAATACAAATCAAATGAACAATTTTTCCTCCACTGAAATTAAAAATAATAATAAAAAAATCTTAGTTTCTCCTTTCTATAGTGATTAAGTGCTTCCATACTGCCTGGCACAGATACAGGGCTGCAAGTGTCCCACATCTGCAAAGGAAGGTGAATCCACCTCCCACCTGTGAACAACCTCCCACCGAGGTGCACAATTCCTCTGTAATTCCCTGCTCCTCCTCACCAACAGCCAGCACATCAGCTGAGGGGGAACAGTCCTATGTCAAGAGCATCCCTGGTCTCAAGCACAGTTAACACCACCAACACAGAGTATATTGTTGCTCCCAGATATAGCACAAGCTTTTTAAACCCAGTCAGGAGGAAAAAAACAAAGTGAGCCAACTAGGCAGTTTTTTCTCCATCTTCTCCCCAAAAATCAAATCCTTGGCATCGACTCACAAGTCTCTCTCTCTCCTTGTTAAAGGCACACAAAGCTCAAGTCAAAGGAGACTCTTCCCCTCTTTCACCTCACCCTCCTGCCTCCACACAGCACATCAAACCCATCCTGTCGTACCTGAGAGAGCAGCTGAGTTCTGCACCCAGATGCGGCTCCTGGATGGCCCAAGCACTTACCGCTGCCAGCCCCGAGCCTGCATTTTGCAGAGGGAAGAGACAGCCATTCTGATGGCAGCTGCAGCATAGTAAACGTTATATAATGGTCTAGCAGATTAATAGCAGGCTATAATCTGCTCTCTTTGTCTGTTGCACAGGAAAAGCGTGATGATTGCAAAAAGACGGGTCCCCAGCAATTACGGGGAGAGAACCACAGAACATCTCAGCTGAGCTGCACCACTCGAAGGTGCAGCTCATGCTGCACATGTCCGACACACACTCTTGCAGAATATTTTCTCCTTTCTCCTACTCCAATACTTTCAAAACATAAGGCTTGTTTCAAATCTTTAAGGCAGTTAAATGCCACATTCTGCCTAAGTCCATGAAATTCATTGATTTACAGTGAATAAAACACAACTGTCAAAGTATTCAAGTACAGTCACAAATGCAAAAAAAAAAAACACAACAACAAAAAAAAAAAACAAAACAAAAAACCTAAAGGCTAACATGCCTATAGTTACTTCTTTATTTGTAATGGGAAAATACGTCAACAACAAAGTAGTGTTTCAGAGGATTTATACAAAGAAAATGTCTTTAACTGCCAAAACGATGATTTTTCCTACCTGGTTTTGAAATAGTAGATTTGCATAATCTGGATTTCAGAGTTGTATGCACACAGCAACTACATTGTATTCAGTTATGTAAAGTCTATAAACTGCCATCATCAGTCAAAGTTCTATGAGTTCCTCTTTAAAGTTCACAAGCAATTAAACATCTAGTGAGTTAAAAAAAAAAAAAAAGCCCTGTCCTCTCTTCATACATTCACACTTCAGTGAAGCTACAGTTACATATTTTAACTACATTTTATAGAAAAAGAATGTAACAGATTAGAGTCAAATTGTGATTGACATTTAAAAAAGAGTTAAGCTGAGCTTCTGAGAGAGCCCTTAACCAAGGCATAGAAAGTGCTTGGTATAAAAGTTAAGTTTCAAAAATTAAAAAATGATTAGCGTCCTTGCCTGTAACAAAGCAATCTTCTTAGCTCTCCTTAGCCGAGTACAGATATTCCACATGACAAATATATTTGAAATCTGCTTGCAGTTTTTCAGTCCCCAGTGTTGCTGCTGCCACCAGACTAAGATGTGATCGCTAGATTCAAAGATGGTACAAACTAGAAGCACATACACATCTTGCAGACTCTTAGCAGAGCCTTTAATTGTTGAAAATTCTACTCTTTCCAGTGAAATTCCAGTGAGGCTGTTTGACTGGAGTTTGATTTTTAGACCCACCTTTATAACCCTCTGGGGGGGGGAAAAAAAAAAAAAAAAAAAAAAACACACACACACAAACAAAAAAAAACACACACAGAAAAAATGACCTACATTTCATGTAGGCTGGCATTGCTCCTATCAGCCACATATATTCCCACCAGCATCCCGTCAAATCTGTATGCAAATCTGAGCCAGGCAGGAATACTGGCACTTGGAAGATGTAGTTGACAGGCTGCATTATCATTATAAATATAACAGATGTTTACCATTTCATTAGCATTTTAATGATAAAGACAATTTACCCTGTCAAACACAGATTGCTTTAAAGTACTTGTAAATCTTTGGCATAAATATAACTGATCTTTCTTGTAAGTTCATTTGCTCATTTTAGCGTCATAATTTTTAAACAGTATTTTGCCTTTTTGGGAACTTCTCTTTTCACTCCACACCCTATGCACAGAAATGCAAGCAGCAGAGAGTGGCTTTGCCAAAATGCAAATCCTCCCAGGTTCCTTTTACTCCTGTCTAGAAGGAGGAAAGCAGGTTTTCATAAGAGCAAATGACCCTAAATAATTCTCATGTTGAGTTTTCTTATTCCTCAAACACAAACTCATCTGAAAAAGAAGTCTCTAAATAAGCACTACTTCTTTTTAATCACATACATTTGGCTTCAAGCATTCCATAGCTCACAGGGCCACTGAAGTTTTTGCCTTCATTATGAAAGCCTTTTACCTTATCTAAAATATGTTTTTAAAATTACGTCATTGTATATCAAGAACAATTTCCATAAACAAATTACACTTCCTAAATTTGAAAGCAGGCTTTTCAGAAGTCTTCACTGAAGGCAACCAGGGAAGTCCAAAGCCATATTTGATTCTCTTCCTCTTTTCTGTTACCTAAAGCTGTTACTGTTTGGTCCTCAGGTTCATGGAAGCAGTTTGTTCTTAAACAAGAGCAAAGAGCAAACAAAGTGTTACTGGGCCTGAATAAAAGCACAGGCAGGCCAATCTGGCATCTACCAGCGGTTGCCTTTGCTTAACTTGTGCCAAAGACAGACAGTATTGGGGGGAGGGCAGAAATCAAGGACATTTAACTTGGATTACTAACACCCAGTACTATGGATACTTCAGAGTTGTACTGAATAATTTTCAGCGCAGCGCTACCCTAGATTTCACATTCATGAATTGTCTGACCACTCTGAGCTATGAAGAACCATCACCCAGTCAGAGAACTACAGCAACACAGGAACAACCAACAGGGTGGGTAAGTTCTAGGCATTCTCCCTCTCTTGCTTTTCTGAGCGCAGCATTTTTCAGCCATCGCGTGAGCCAACAGTGTCCCTTGAAGGGTGGCTGACGGTTGTCCCGTTGGTTTTGCAGAGGTTGGCGGAGCTCATTACGCACTGCAGCCACACGGCGCTCGTCACGCTGCCTCCAGACTTCACCGTCACCTCCATTTGCTCCGTTTGCCTGTAAAGCTCCACAAGCCACAGGATCGGGCGGGACATGTTGGAGTTGGTTCCATGAAATGATTCTGGGAGAACTCCGCACTCATTCGTCTATAACCTTTTTCTGGGGCTCTAAAGCTTTCAGAACAATTTATTAATTTGTCAGTGGAACTTTTGAACATTGTCAGAAATATTTACTTCAGCATGCGGTGCAGAAACAGTTTTCTAAACAGGTCAGAGCCAGAGGTAGTACCTAGGCTTTCATCTTGAATAAAGCTCTCCAACTCCACTGCCCAAGCCTTGCAAAGAAATAGCAGCTTTATGGGATGCTTAGAATAACAAAAATATTTTTTATAAGCAAACACACTAACTACAGAAAAGCATCCTATTAAAAAAAAAAAAAAAGATGATTAAACCCCAGTAAGTTTCTTGGTTAAGATCTGTGCCTCTTTTGCATCATGCCCCAAACCCATCCATTTGCCTTAGGATTTCCCTTGCAGAAATGACAAGTAAGATCAGTCACTTGCAAGTCACTGCATTTGTAGCGCACTTATTTATATGGCATTCATCATCACGGCACCTGAGATCTTTCCCGATATATAGCAACAAAAATACTAATCTTTCTTCCTTCGCAGTGTGATCAGTTCACAGGATTTTGCATTTCTGAAAACAGCAGCTGCTGCTATCAAAATGCTTAGATAATTAAATTCTTCTAAATTTTTTTTAAGAATATTAATGGATCAGATTTTTAAGTAATTCTCCTGCCTTAAATAAAAATAAAATGTAACCTTTTTAATAGTTTTTTTTTTTTCAGGACTCCGCATAACAAACCTTGCTTCCTTATAGTATGATACTAGGATTGATGAGATTTACTGTATC